GTTCAAAATCAGGGGATTACCACTCTGATATGAATTCAGACAACTATATAACGCACCTTATCACAGCATTCAGTTGGAGCGGGCGCCTACATCAAACTCAAACAAAAATCAAATGATAGAATGGTTAATGCAGAAAAATATTTCATTTACACCTAGTGCTTTAAAACCTGAACTGTATGAAATAATTAAATATCATAAACTTTATCATGTAAAATACAAATTCGACGAAATTCTACGTGCCCATGGCCATATTCCTTTACGTTTACCTCCTTACCATCCTGACCTAAACCCTATTGAACTAATATGGGCTACAGTCAAAAATAATATGAGGCAGAAAAACGTTACATTTAAGCTAGCTGACGTACAAAAACTCGCCGAGGAAGAATTCACTAATATTGATGCAAATGAGTGGAGGAAAACGATGTTACCATGTCATTAAGAAGGAAGATGAGTATATGGACAGCGAAATAGTTGCTGATAACGCCACGCAAATAGATCCAATTATTATAAATCTTGACAGTGACTCTTCCAGTACAGAGTTTTCTTCTTCCGAAGACGAAAATGAAGAAAATTATTAACAATCCATTTATTTTCAAATAGATACCACTTTTCAACACGGGTACTTGTTTTAGTATTATAATAAAACCAAAATATTAAAATTAAATAATTACTGTGTTGCATTTATTTATACCATATCCTCCATTTAATTTGAAACACAATATCAACGTAGATTTGTGAATTAAATTCAGTCATTATTGTATAATTTGTTTACTAAGTTAAATAAATATTATAAACCAATGGCTTACTATTTAAATTAAATAAACCAAAATTACAATTTCATCTTTCTAATAATATATTAAAGCTTGCGAAAAATATTACTTTTTTAATAAAATTGTGTAATAATTATTTGACCTATACCGCTACGCTACTGAATATACTTATCAGAAATAGTAAACCAATAGGAAGAATCATAGGGCGTAAACATAATTTATTTCTCTGTGACGTTCTGCGTAATCCCTCGCCAAGTTAGCTGGCGATGATTGTAGATTCTAACTCGATGGAGTTTTGTCAGTAGGAAACGTAGCGTTGTTTTTACGTTTTATCAGTTAAAAATAGTCTAGTGAAATAGTCTGTTAATTTGGGAACCAAAATGCTATTTCGATCAAAACATTTTGGTCAATACCCTTCATTAGTTATTGTTAAATTTTTTAAGTAATAATTAATTTACTTTTCGCGAAATAACAAATATTTATATCTGACCTCGTGAGTATAATTAATATATTTAAATTTTAGTTTGGTGTTGTCTGTACACATCGTTAGCCACAATTAATAAATACAGTTTTTTAGGTTTATTATATACTTTTTTTTTTCATGTTTTTGTTTTGTTGCCTATTTTTTTTTGTATTAAATAGGTAAACATATTAATTTTAACATGTTATGTTTAAGTAAGAATTTGATATAATTTCTAACGTAATTTGAGTCCTTTATTGGATATTAGCTCCCATTTAGCTTTGCACCCCAGTCGTCGGAGACGAAAATGCAACTAAACCCCTAAAAATTATATAAACAAGCTAAATTTTGCAGAGAATATTAATTTTGGGCCTCCAAAAAATATACAAAAAAGTTTACCACTTTTATCCCTAGGCTAAAAACACCCCAGGGTAAAAACAGCTAAAAAATCGATTTACCAAGAATCTGTACGCTGTAGAAAAAAATGATTACTATTTAAATCGGAATAAGCCACAATTAAAGGTTAAAGTAAGTTTATTGACGTTTCAATTTCCACTTTAAAAAGAGAAAAATCAAAGAAGCGGCTCTAATTATGCTAATGATTATGTTGCTATGAGACCAATTGTGTCGCAAATTCCTCGGCAGAATCTAGTAGGATCTGGTTACCCATATTAAAAGAGGCAGTTATTAAAAGGAAAATAATATATAAATAGTATTAGCAAGTCAGTAACATATCGAGGATACATTATTTATGTTTTTTTAAATAACAAACATATACAATCAGAGTTTGGTGTTTATTGAAGGTAAACTAAATGTACGACCAAATACTTACCATGTCGACATAGTATTATGAGGTTTTTTCCTGGGTTTTTCCTCATAATTTACTATGAAATCACTAACAGAAAAATTTTACTGTCATCATGGTATGTGGTTGTCTTTTTCAAGACGAATTACATGCTATGATTTTTTCTGACGGATATTCTCAAGTTAAAGTTAATTTCATGCAATCCAATATGTAGCGTTTTTTTATTTAATGTGTATATAAAAGATTTCTGTAGTACGCTCCTGTTGTTTTTACCAAAGAAAACAATTGACATAATATTTCAAGTTTTTTTTTACGAGATTTTTAAATGCGTATTAACGCTGGAAATATGTTTTTATCTCTGTGTTGCAATGTTAGGTGAAACAACAAGTTTTTTGTCGCCAAAGAGGTATTATGTTACATGAAGTCACCCTAATATTCCGGTTAGAATAATCAACAATGCTTATATTTCTACCGATTCAAAAGTAAATATAGATGTTTTTTTCTGTGTTTAGATTCAAATATCGAACCGTTTGTTACAGTCAGGTAGAACTCCGGTTTAAATACGTGCTATTTTATTAATTTGTATCATGTAAATTTATGATGCCGCCTGATAAAAAAAAGGTTTTATTTGTTTTCTTCGTTAAAAACGCAATAAACATGAATTCGCCTAATATTAAAGTTGTTTTTCGTTATTAGACGAGGGTCAAAAAAAAGAATATTTGTTTGTTTAGGCAATAAAGGAACATTTAAAAGTTGTTTTTTTTTTGTCGATAAGAGGGGGGAATATTTGTTTTGGTTTTGAGTGGGTCGGCGACATGCTGCAAGACGGAAGGGAAATTTTTGGCTAGATTCTTGTAAATTGTAACGAAGCAAAAGGAGACGAAGATTTGATTTGAAATGGGGCAGACATGTGAAAATTGAGTCAAAGATTTGAATTTGAAAAGGGAGTCGAGATTTAAGTTCCAAGCAGGGCAGACGTGCTACCACGTAAGGTCGAGATTTTAGTTCCTGTTCCAATCGTTTTGCCCTGGAGTGTAGAACTATTTCCTGATGGTTGCTGCCTTCCAGTTTTGAAAGTTTTGTCCGAGTAGCTTCCCCAGAGATGTAAAGTTTCAAAGTGTTTGTATAAAAAAAAACATTAAGGTAACAATTCAATATATTAATTTTTCAAAGTAAAGACAGATATTTTTTGCTAAAATAATAATTGCTTTCATAACAAATTAAAAAATTGTAATATGTATGGTTATGCTATTAATACTTTTGTTCTTTGTCATCAAAATTAAATGTGATACCTGACAGCAAGCTTTAATTTGTTTTTTTGTTATGACAATTTTAATTTGATTATTATGTAGAAACGATATTTCATATGTAAGGTTAAATTTTATTATGTTTTCATTAACAAGGATCCTTAATTTTTGATAATCTAATTGGCCATAATATAGTAAACAAAGAACATGTAAGTTTTTGTTATTTGTATTATGTTGTGTATATGATATGTTTCTTTTATAATATGTATTTTTGATCTGTTTTGTTAGAGACAAAAATAAATGTTTAATTTGTTTCTCTGATCTATTTTGAGTTTTATTTGAAAAACATATTTTATTCTATATTTTGATGTTCTATAATTATTTCCCTAATTATAACTAATGATTGTAATAGGTATAATTATGCACCTCAAGTGGAGCCCTTTATTAAATTCCTTGAGGTGTTTCCGTTTATTTTCATTCTGTTTGTCCCAAGAGATTTATATAAGTACCCCTTTATTTCTTTTTTTGTAGTTGCCCCAATCCAAACCCCAATATCTTCAACTTATCGACGACCCAGCTCTCCAACAACCAACTGAGTGCCATATGCACTTGTTTCGATTATTTTGTTTGCCCAATCTTGTCCCCCATATTCTTACCCTGTGGTAAGCAAAATAGTCGTTACAAGTAAACACCCAAAAATCGTCTACTCGGAGGTATTTTTAGTGACGTGCGATCGTTTGTAATGTAAAACATTGAATTCTGCAATTTTTACTTATATTTCAAATGCCTCATAATTTTTCGCCACAAATCAAAATTGAAATTTCATGTCATGGTTTTTAAACTTTTACTACGACTGGTTAATTAAAGTGATCAATTTTATTGATCTCGTATAAAATGGTAAAAATCGCGCCACGTTTATTTGTTTAACATTTTTATAAAAACTGAGAATTGCATACAAAAGCTGCGCTCTTTACCTTTAAAACACATCTTGATTTTTGTCGATAGGACACTTGGATCAAAAGATATCGAATTTTTTTCGTCGAGCTGATACAAAATCGACGGTCACTTCAAGCGTTGTTTTTGAGAAAACGTTTTATTCTACACAAAAGGTGCTAATAACCATTTTTGCTTAAAATTATCTCAGCTATATTTTTTATTTAAAACATTTTTTTTCTTCGGCGTAGAGATTCTTGGTAAATCGATTTTTTTTGCGTTTTTACCTCCCTACGAGGGAGGTTTTTGGGGGAAACCCAGGGGTAAAAGCATTTTTAAACTTTTTTGCATCATTTTTGGATTCCCAAAATTAATGTTCTCCGCAAAATTCAGCTTGTTCGTATGATTTTTAGGCGTCAACTCTCTGACGACTGGACCATTGTAGTTTTGGAGCATTCTGTATTCCTTTTGTTTCTGTCAAACTGTTATCTATTATTCATATTTATTCCCACATCCGATTCTCCCGATAATAATCAACGAGGCATTCGTATTGTCCTTGTGTTACGACCGGCGTATTACCATCTAAAATAATTTTTTGGCCGTTTCAGTGGTACAGTAAAAAGATTGATGAACTAAAAGATTAGACTAACGTATGTGTAGACCACGCCGCGAAATATAGATGATATATGGCGAATAAAAGATCTTGGCAAAAACATAAAGTTCTTATTATAATGTGGTAGGACGATATAATATAGAAATACTGTGAGACGATATAATATACTTACGATTTGCGTCCATTTTGGTAAGGAGTTTGTACCACACATTTTGTTGTACTGGAATCAAATAAAAATAATTATTTTATTATAATTTAAATTTATAATTAAGTCATAAAAGCATAAAATTCAAATATTTTTTTTTAATTTGTTCAGGATTACTTAAGGTATATATTTTCTTTTATATTTTTTAATTATTATTACACATAGAATAATCTTGATATTAAATTACAGAATTTTTTAAAGCCGTTTAACACGTTGCGTACGGCTGTACAAAAAAAATATACCCCCAGCCGGCGTTTTTTATGTATCTAGATTCATTTTTATCTAATTAACATGCCACAGTAATTTTTCTTGTTTGATTTTCGATATATCATAAGTTTTTTTAGAATATACTTTGTGGCACAACGTTTGTTTTACGCCGGCCAAGGATTAATTTGTTTATTCCAGCCGGCGTGGTTTGTTACGCGTACCACACGCTATATTTCGCGCCAAATGCATATTCATGGTTCTTGGAACACTAGTGGGGTGACTGAATTTGCAGATCGTTTGTATTCTGTGTCTAGTTAAAAGTAGTCTTAGTTGTTATTAGTTGTTGCTGACGGAGTGTTGTTATTCTGCCATTTATTGCAATATGGGAGATTAGAGCCGTCTGCAAGCCATTTGGGATGAGATTATGTCTGATGAGGACAATGAAAACGAATTTGCCGATGTTTATTTGTCAGAAAAATATGAACCTGAATCATCCCATGAGTATTCTTCTGACGGTTGCGAGGAGCCAGATCCCAAAAAGCGTGTCAAGTAAAATGATGAAAAATCTGGCGAAGGTACTTCTAATGTGGTTTCTACAACCGTAAGTTATTGAACTTTATTTTTATTTTGTCACAATATTTTACAATATTTTTTGTTTACAATAGACAGGTAAACTTTTTGTAGATGGATTTAGAATCTGGTTCACATGAAACTATTTCAATCCAAGGAACAAAGACTGTTCAACAACAAACAAATATTATTGATGTAACTATACAAGAAGTAATTGATATGGCCACAATTACTGAAGAAATGTGTCATAGCGAGCAATGTCAGTGGAGGAAAGTTGATGGAACATCGCTGAAAACATTCGATTACAGTGTAGAAAACGACGGAATAAAATCTTCGTACGAGAATTATATAGATCAAGAATTATATAGAAGATCAAGAAGAAGAAGATATATATTTTTTTCATATGCTTATTATAGCTTTCCATAAAACAGAATTTTTACTATTTACATTTTTTTATTCACCTTACCAAAAATAGGTTCATAAAATTAAAACAAACGTCCAGCGCATATCAGCCTCTCACTAGAACGGCTCTTTTGTATTCCTGCTTAAATAGCACAGTTGCATGAACCGTTTTGTAATACACGCCGTCTAAGTGAAAGTATACCACGTGGTACACCATTTGTGCCACGCCGTCCAAGGATCAAATTGGGTGTGAGACACGTATTGTCTCACACCGTACGCAACGTGTTAATAAAACATTATTAACTTACGGCTGTTTTATCGGTGCACCAAAATTTTTTCTCTGTTATTTACCGACGAAATGTCTCGAAATTTGGACATGTTATACGAAATTATGTTGCCTTTAAACTGATGGTTTTACTTTTTTTATTTTTTTGAATTTTCTGTTGAAAAATTGGATTATACTGTTTAACGTTCTATTATAACCAAACTTTTCACGCCCATCAGTTGAAAGAGTTTTTTTTTCTGTAATCGTTGATTCTTTTTTCACCTTTCTGTGTCCAGTAATAATCGAGAAAGCGTATTCAAACTTTGAAGAAAATTGCTAAAAAATACTGAAATCTAATAGTGAAACGTGTTCCTCATCATTGTCGCTGAGCTTGATCGTTATCGCATTAGTGACGTCAAATCTCATGAGCGTACGGTACGGTCTTATTTTTATTTCTCTATGGGTACGGTCAGTTAGTTCGCTTGAATTAGAATCCATTTTAGTTCTTTCATTCTTGTATTTTCTTTATCAACTTGCTTAGTTTTTACAGTTTACAGTATTCTTAATTATTTTGAAAACATTGAAATTATTTAGTTTACGTGTATGTTAAGTAATATATTATTAGTTTAGTGGTATAAGTTAAAAGTTCTTTAGTTTACGCGTATTTTTAAGTATTACATTAGGTTAGTGATATAAGTTATAAGAGACAAGATAAAAAATGAGTCCCAGTAAACGTCCTATGTCAAGGAAAAGGAGAGCAATTGCACTGCTTTAGTATTTATTATTTATATTACAACCATTTTTAAAAGCTTTTATTTAACTTGTCAAATGTGGAATATTGAAAAGGAGATAGCAACATAGGATTCTGGTAACAATTCACTGAACTTGAATGGTTCTGGTTATTCAGACATACAGCAGCAGCACGCTGCATTAAATATACCTGTGATTTCCTACAGGCAGTATGCAAAACATACGGAAACAGTTGCAGATATCATCGGCCAAACACTTTGTGATTCCTTAGAAGAGGCTGGACGGGAGGAATTAGCTTTAGCCAAAGAAATTGGTGAAGTAGATTCCGACGGAAATGGGTTAATAACCGTTATAGCTGATGGTGCTTGGTCAAAAAGATCGTATAAAGTAAACTACGATGCTTCTTCAGGTGTAGTACCTGACGTTGTAAAATTTATTAAATTAGTACGCCTTTGATGGATAGGACATGTAATTAGGCGAGATGAAGATGAAACGATCAGAAAAATTTTCGACCGAAGAGGACCAGTGGGAAGACGATCCAGAGAAAGACCAAAACTTAGGTATCAAGATAACATAGAGGATTATCTAAAATCCATCGGAGTAAAGCATGGAGAAAGTTGTCAGAGGCAGGGGCGAATGGAAGATTGTTCTGAAGAAGCCTTTGGCTCATGACCAGCTGTAATGCCACTGATATGATGAAATACCTATCCACGATTTGTGTTTTATTCATCAATTGGATACTTTTCTTATGTAACTGCAACCTATAAATATATTAAAATAATGTATATTCCATTCAGAGAACATTTTCCTCGCAGTGCGTCGCCTCGAAATACTTGCCAGATAAATACTTTTACTATTATGATGGTTTCGCAGGTACCAATTTTTTATAGATAAATAAAAATATTTTTTGTTTAATTTTAACTACGCTAATATCAGTTTTCTCTAACAAACATTAACAAAATATTAATTATATATTAATATTAATATAACAAAATTTAAATTTATTATAAATAAACACCATGGTGTTTTTTGCAGTCACGTTTCACAAATTTTTATTTAATACTATGTTTAGCTAAGACATATAAATTAAAAATGTGATTAATTCTTTTTAAAACATTATCTACGATAATTAATCTAAAAAAAAGTATTCCGACAAAACTAATTTGAATGGAGAATAATGCATTTATTTTAAACAACCCGTGGGCCGGCGCCACTGAATAAACATTAAAACTATTAGGAAGTCACGTAGAGTCTGACATAGCAGTGTAGAAAAGTAAGTGATACGCCCACTTCAAATCGCAGTATGCTATAACTGCGAAAACAGCCTTAATCAACTTAAATGGTGTGAAAAGCCGCCTACAATCTTTTCGCAATTGAAACGGAGTAATAAATAAAAATTTTGTGACCTTGTCAATTTAAGACTTTTACCTATGCTCATCGATATTGAGGAAACATAACAATAGGCTAGGCTAGGCTAGACAAAACGAACAGGCTAAACTTTGCTGAGAATGTCACTTTTGACAAACCCAAAAAAGATGCAAAAAAGTTTACTACGTTTACCCCAAGGCATCCCCCCAAAACCCCCACTCGTAGGTGGGAAAAACGGAAAAAATCGATTTAGCAAGAATCTGTATGCTGTAAAAAAAGTTTCAAATAAAAAATGTAGCTGAGCTAATTTTCTCTAGTAAAAAAGTTTACTAGTTTTCTAGTTCTAGTTTTCTCTAAAAGTCTCTATTAGGGACAAGTCGGGACTGTTAGAAACCCATTCCAGAAGTGGTATTCCATGGTCTTCGCTCCATTTTAAACTCTTTTTTGAGGTATGACAACCTGCGCCGTCCTGTTAGAAACCAAATCTTTCGCTGATGTTAAACGGTGTTCCATAATCGGTAAAAGAGATTCTTCTAAAATACTGGTGATGTTTTGTCAACGGTTTTTTAGCCTCACCTCACTTGTGTTATAGCCTCACAGTTTAGTAAAGAAAACAGTGGAGGTAACAGGGCTTCTACTAAAATTTTCATAAGAAAACGCATGTAATGAATTTTATAAATAGATTGAAATGTTCAGAGGCTCATTACTGTGCCAAACACACGGGCAGAAAATATCTTTCTGCTGATTTAAATATTAGAAAAATGTGGAAAATATATATATATCAGCTCACTTACAGAATATCAGAGTGATTTGAAAGTAACACACTGAAAAGTAATTGACTTTAGGTCAATTTTCAACACGAAGTACAATCATCGCTTCGGATGCTCTAGGCTAGACGTTTGCTCTACTTGTCTGCAGTTAGATGAACGACTAAAACACTCACAGCAAGGCAACGAAAAACAAGAGCTCATGACTGAAAAACGTATTCATAAATTACGTGCTAAGGCTTTTTTTGAATCACTAAAATACACTGACCCAAAAATTTTGATTTTCAGTTTTGATTGTCAAAAAAACCTACCCTTGCCTAAATTACCAGATCAAGCCACTTACTATAGTAGGCAAATCTATCTTTACAATTTCACTGTGGTTAAAGGAAATTCTAAAGTGAACTGACTTCAGATAATGTGATATCATACATTTGGACCGAAAACGAGTTTAAAAAAGGATCTAATGAAATTGTTTCGTTTGTTTTTGATATACTTAAATCAACAGAAATGAAAAGCCCTATTACTACTGCGCGATTAGTGAGTGATGGATATGGGGGCCAGAAAAAAAATTCAATAGTCGTGGCCATGGCTTGTTTCTGGCGTTCTAAATATGAATCAAAAATATGAAAACGGTTGAGTTCTTTTTTCCCATAAAAGGTCATAGCTATCTTCCACCTGATCGGGTATTTGGAGTATCAGAAAAGTTTCTAAGAAAAAAAAGAGGTGATTTACAAACCATCAGAATACTTTGATATTATAGCTGAACATTTGAAAGTAGTAAAGGTTGGCCAAGACTGTGACGTCTTTGACTGGAAGAAAGAAAATGATGTATTCATGAAAAAACCGGCACAATTTCATTTTCAACTGGGGACCTGCAAAATAATTATTCTGACAAGAACTAAATATAAAAATGTTCTCGTTAGAGGTGAGTACACATACAAGTTAGACTTGGGTGTGGCAAAGTCCTTAATCGAGACAGGAAAACTGCTTTTCAACATGAACCCAAACTTGATTCCTTTGTCAAACTCGACGAAACCAGTGAAGAAAGTTGACGTCAACAACTTGTTGAAGAAGCATTATGGAGACCAGTGGAGGGACAATGAGGATTTACTCTTCTACAAAAATGTCATCGATGAGGCTGATGACAATGTAGAACCCGAGTCAGTTTGTGAACACATCGACATGACAAGAAGTCAATATTCTTAATAAATGAAATGAGGTTGAATGCTCGAATAAATGAACTTTAAAATAAGACTATTATCGAGCACAAGTTAATTAAATCTAGCCCAAGTACTTTCGCTTAAAATAGCATCTTCAGGGGCATTTCGTCAAAATGTAAACTATCCGGCAAGCGTAGAATGTGGAAACATTAAAAATAACAGAAAATTGTACAAAACACTACACTAAAACAAGGACAAACAGTTTAAAATTACTTAAAGATTCTACGCTACATTCTCTGTCAGTATCTGGAGGGATAATGTGATTATTAGTTGTTCTTGTAGTACAATTCTTAATAAATAAATAATAAAATGTGTATTTCTTTACCTAAGTTTGTATTTCTATAAATAATAATATGCGTAACAAAACTGTTTTATTTATATATTGTTTTACAGCCATGTGAAGACATATGTTACTCTCAATTATAGAGGCCAAATGCATTTTCTTGTTCTTACAGCCATTGTACACATGTTCCGTAAGCATTGCACGGCGTTGAATAGCATATGCGGCTTCACACAACAATAACCTATCCACATGTCCGAGGTGCATGACTGGCTTCACACGACCAGAAAGGCAAATTTGATGTGATGCCGCAATGGCATCTCATGGCAGCGAAGGTGTTAATAACTAATTATTAAGTATAATTAATAACCTCCCTAAGAGTTTTAAAGTAAATCCATTAAATTTAGTAATTTAAATAAAAAAATATTTTCTATATTTATACTTAACTCTCTAATTTCACAATCGCTTGATTTAGATCTGCTATGGAGTTTCGGCTTACGCTTACTTGGTGTCAGAACTCGTATTTTATCGTTCAGATCTTCATTTCCCGTCATGGTAAATTTATTTCTAAATGGCTCTACTTTTTCTGGATTTGAATATATTACGTTTTTGCTAAAGTTAATTCAAAACATAAATAAAAATTATGCATAGCTATTATAATATAAAACATAAATACCAACAAGCTATTTTATAAATTTTTAGGAAATATTTTATAGGGAAGAAAATAAATTGACAAAAAGTATAGAGTGAAAAGAATATCCTTTTTTTTTTTCTTCTTTTAGGCACTTCAGCCCAAATTGAGTCTTGGCTTCATTTATTTTTTGCCTCCACCCTTGCTTGTCTGTGGCTGATCTTCTGCATACACGAACTCCTAAAAGAGTTTGTGCCTCGCTGTTTATTGTGTTTTCCCAGCGCTTTCTTGGCTTTCCAACCGATCTCTTTTCCTGCATTCAGTGCTCTTTTTGGCTGCCTATCCTCTCCTATTCTTATCACATGTCCGTCCCTTTGCAATCTTTGTATTCTTATAAAGTCTGACTGTGGTACTACCTTATAAAGTTTGTTTTTGTATCAACTTCTAAACATTCCGTTTTCCTCACAGGTCCTAGTGATCTCCTCAATACTTTCCTTTCGAATGTGTCGAATCTGTTTTTGGATGTTTTTTTCAGGACCCATGCTTAACTGCCATAGCATGCTATTGGTCGAATTAGGATTTTAAAGATTCTCTTTTGTATTTCGTTGGACATTTTTAGACCGAAATATATGGGAGAGGGCAAAATAAGCTTTGTTTGTCTGCGTTATTCTCTTCCATATTTCTCCATCTTCTGATCCGTCGGCGTATATTTCCACTCAGAGGTATGTAAATTTTCCAACCGTTTCAATGTCATATTCATGTGTACCTAATGTTTTGTAGGATTATATTTCTTCTCGTCTGCATCATTATTTTTGTTTTCTCTGTAATAATTTTCTAAGGAATTTTTCCGCAGGTACTGGGGTTTGTCCCAGTACCATTAATTTTCAGTTTAATTCACTAACACATTTTTTTTTCTAACAATCTTCTTTTTTCTTGGACCACATATAAACAATTGGTTACTGGTATGCTGAACGAAGATATAAGGTAAGTATTACTGTTTCTTGTTATTTTTTCTATATAATACACTTTGGTTTTTTAAGAGTTTTTTATCCCTCATAGAGAAGGAAGATGGCTCCTTTTTTTATTTGGTTCAATTTTGGTCTATTTCCTTTTAGTCTTCTTTTTATAGTGCCTTGCACCTATAGTGCGTTGACGAATTATCTGAATGCCAGACGTCTGTCCTTTGCGGCATGCAAAAATCGTCAGTGTTATTAGAGAGTATTTAAGCCCCTTATTTCAGTACCGTTAAACGTTATACGTTATTCTGCTCATGAGCATTAACAGAACAATAACGGATTACTTTATTAGCGGATAAGGTATTCCCTTATTTAGGTAAAGATAAGGTTAACGTTATTAAGGGATTACGTGTTTGTAATGTTGTCAAATGCCAGATATCTAAATCATAAAAAACAAAAAAAGAGTCATATGAGCAGCTCTCTTTCCTTGTCTAAGAGCAGAACCAAAGATAACTATGATAAAATAAAAAAATAGAAAATTTAGTTCAGCATCTTTCTCTTCAATTGTTTCCTACACAAAATGTAGTCTTGGTGCAACAGGTATTACAGGATCAAAAATATTGTGAAGAATTAAGCCTCTTATCAAATTGTAATCTATTACTTCTCTGTGTCTTCGTCGTCTATTTTCTTAGATTATAGCAAATTTTCAAATAAAATAGGTTATAGAGTATAACGTGGTATAACTGCCGTTTTATAGGTTACGTTCGTCAAATGTCAATTACCGTTAATCTGTCATAGCTTAATTTCTGAAAGGATTCAAAAACTATTTTAAGTAAAAACCCTTATTCCGTATTTATTATTCAAGGCGCATGACAAGTATAACGTTTTACGTTTAACGTCCATAGAAAAGTAAAGGGCCTAAAAACTCTCTATTTATGCCTGTCCAGTTCTTTATGTTCCGTAGCCACGACATTTATTTACGACCTACTCTTCTTGCCTTCAATCTTTCCCTGGATGATTAGTTGAGAAATTGCGTATTTTTTTCCTCTCAGAATATGGCCGAGGTATCCAATTTTTTGTACCTTTACCAAATTGACTATTTCTTTGCGACTTTTCTTTCGTCACACAAGCACTATGTGCTTGTGTGACGAAAATACGAAGAGAAATTTTCTCGGTTGGTTTCAAAATGATCCGACGATACCAGTAATTGGATAAATTGGTTTTTCACGTGCTATTTGATTATTGAAGTAATTTAATTAATATTTAGTATTTACCTTAAAGAGATAGGAGCACTGGATGATACATTTCGTATTGGTATTTTATCCCGATTCAGCGAAGTATCAGATTTTGACTTGAAACTATGCTGGTCATCTGTCGGTTTTTCTAAGCAACTGAAAAATAAAACTAATCATTGTAAAAATAATTTAAAGAATTTTTTTATAGAGTTTGTTCTACCTTGTTAATATGAGTGACCCTGTATATTTGAAAATATTTTTAAAGTAAGGTTCTATCTTTGCTGCAACTTTTATTTGAATTATTTTTTTGTATTGCTTACGACAAACCAGTAAATAGACTAAGTTGCACTAATGCCGCACCCTGTATATTCGAGAGATCTTTTATATAGGTGTTATTATTGATAGATTTTTGGTCTGAACTTATCTCTAATCTACATCTTTTGTTATAGTTATGTTCTTCTTCCAATACACTACAGATACAAAGTTTGACAGTGAAAACGCGCCATCGACCTCTTTTTCTTCTTTGCAACGCAATCTTTGCAATACTGGAATGATTTTTTTCTTCAAACGTCAAATAATGATGACATTACTTATCTAACTTGATCCTGTCAAAGTTTGATGTCTCCGCCGGCAGCAGTTTTTTCCCCATTTCTTTACGGCGAAGGGAAAAATGTTGTCATTGCAACAATATGAAACACGTCACAAAGCAACAATACAAATGTCATTAACAACAATTAAACATCATTTTTATTTACAGTAATATTAAAAGTACAATTAGTTAATGAGGCATTTTCAAAATTGAAACCGTGCAAAAATGTTCCCGACTCTTGATACGCATTGGTAATTGTTGATGATACTGATGGTCGAGAACAACTTTCAGCAATCATTCCCGATGTTAGCGAATCATGAGGGTTTAAAATTGTTTGAGCATTATCGTTCTTATTTCTTATTGAATTCTCTATATATCCTTCAGCAACCGTGCTTGATTTCCAGCCCCCATGTTGTTTGAGGCATTCTAGATTTCCACCTCCATCAATTAAAAGCGTTGCTGAAGTTCGTCGTAAAGAGTGACCCGTGTATGCGCTTGCATCATTTAAATTTAAATAACTAACTTCTTTTTGGGCTACTGCGCTGATCGAATGTATTCCCATGACGCTTCGATAATACTTTTCATTTTGGTACTTCATAAAAAATTGGTTTTCTGTGAAATTTTCAGGCCGCAGTGATGCATACTTTTTATACAGTTTAATGTAGTTTTGACCAATTATCGTAAAAGATCTAATTTGTCGTGTTTTACTGTCTGGGGACCAAGTCTACATTCTGCGGGTTTTCGACAACTCCATCTACGTTTTCCCTGGGTATGCCTAGCATCTCCTGAAAATGTTCTTTCCATCTCTCTATTTGGTCATTTGTTGTAATAAGTAATTCGCCTGTCTTGGATCTTATAAAGTTTGAACAGTTGGGTCCATTTTTGTTAGTCGTCTAGTAATTTGGTATAGCTCTCTAGTTCTGTTGTGTTGTGCATCTATTTCAGCTTGTTTTGCCAGTTCTTCAGCCCACCTTTTTTTGCCTCTCCTTGCATTTCCTTTAACTGCCATATTTATTGTTTCATATTCATGTTGTCGGTTCCCTTTTTTCTTCTACAGTTCTTGCTTGCAAACTTTCTTTTGCTGTTTTCTTTCCTCGATAAGATTCCAAGTTTCATCTGACATCAATTCTTTTCTATGCTTTCCTTTTTTACTCAGTTTATCTTCAGTTATTTCTGTCAAAATATCTGTCAAATCTTCCCAGCTATTTACTTCACGTTCTCTTGTTTTGAGTTGGAGTTCCTCCATAAACATGTGTTGATTAGGAGCCGTTCTTAATTTGTCTAGGTTGTGTGTTGGTCTGTTGGTGTTTCGCGTGATTTTGTTTTTGGCTATCTTAATTTTGATGGTATCTATTATGAGATGATGGTCACTTGCAATGTCTGCTCCTCTTTTGTTACGTACATCAAGAAGAGATGGGCTCCATCTTTTTAATATGTCGATGTGGACTATTTGATTTTCTCCCATAAATTCAAAATTCAAAAGAATAGATATTTTCTAGAGAATGCTTAGCTAAGGCTGTAGTGGTTAATTTGTCGGTTTGTACACTATGCTTGTGTGCAACAACCCTTCTATATAGATATTGGTTTATTTGCACAATATATGTTGATTTGCAGTCTTTACAATTTATTTTATAAATAACATGTAACTGACGATCTTTAGTAATATTCGGTTGAAATGTTGAAAAATATTTTTTTGTTTTTGGATTGATTGGAAATTGGATTGATTTGTGATAATGTAATTTCATTTTTTAATTAGACAGTTGTAAAATTCTGGTGAATAATTATTTTTTTCTAAGATATCTTTAATTTGTTTTAGATTTTCAAAATATTATTGTGGGCTAGATACCTTAATTACTCTGTCAGTGAGACTAAATACAAAACTTCTTTTATGAGTTATAGGTGCGTTGGTATTAAAATTTAAATATCTTCTGCACCAAACATCTTTTGTATAACTACTAACTGATTTACATGTTTACAAAGTTACCATGCCCCACACAGACAGCTGAACCTTCTGTAAAAATAAAAGCAGAAGCATCTGTCATTAGTGATAAAGAATCAAGAAAGTGTTTTAGAATAGCTAAACTTAAAAGCAAAAAATTGATGTCTCGATTTGAAAATAAACGAGATTTTGTGGCCACAACATATATTTTTTTGAACTATAATTTTTTTTTACCAAAACTGTATGCTATTTTAACTGTTTTTCTATCTTTTTAATATTAGTTTATTGTATGACAATGTACAATTGCTTGGAAATATTAATAATGTAAATTTAATTGAACGTTTTTTTCGAAAATTCCCAAAACTTTGAACCCCATGCTCGCGTTAAAGATGTAATATAATTTCACTTTTTATAATCAATTATATATGTTAAGTGTTAAGGCAAAGTAATATGTTCATTATATGATAATTAAATTATAAAAAATTCAATGACTAGTTCGCGAAAAAGTAATTCTTAATATGTGAAATTGAAAAAAAATATATATAATAAGTTAATTATAATTTTTTTTATTATTATTTGCAAATTTAAGTTGGAAATTTTTTTTTAATAATTTAAACAAAAACACTCCTTTGACTATATGGAATACTTTAAGATTTATTTGCAATAAACATAATCAAAAAAGAAAACCATAATTAGACAAAAAGTTCTTGCTAAATTGGCTGTTTTATCTACTACCAGTCCAATTTTTAACGATAACATTAATCAGTTTCACTTTCACAAGACACTATTTTAAAAATTTTTAGCTTTTTGAAATTACGATTAAAAATATAATAGTGAATCTTCTAGTAAAACCTAGAAACAATCTGACTTCCTTTGTTCTACCGACCTATTTGATTATTATCGTGTATTATAAACACTTTCGAAAAGCTTATAAAATTTAGACAAAAAATCGGTATTGGTTTCATAGAGGTATAGATATAATTGATACAATCTCCCCTTTAGCTATAGACGCACAATTGCTTCTATCAATTGTGCGTCTATCTTTATGGGCTTATGATGTGATAGATTTTTAAATACTATATTTAAAAATGGTGGTGTTTGGTATCAATAAAAGAGTCTCTATGAATATTTTAAATTTGTTTGCTAATAGAAATATATTTTGCGAGAGCATCATAACGTTTTACATGGTCCAGGAGTACTTTACAACAGGCTTTCACAAGGTTCTATTTTAATGCTCCTCTTGTTTAACATGTACACTGTTAACTTGCATGATTTGATGAGCGATGACACACAAATTATTAAATATGCGGACGATTCATATATTTATGTCACCCATGATACTTATGACCGCTGCATAGAATCCTTAAAACATATTTTCGATAAGTTACAAAATTGGTTTGACGAATAATTCGTCAAAGTTCCTGGACTAGTGTTTTGTCAATCGTTCAATTTACGAAGACCGAATCAATCAGTGACCGACTCCAAATACTATCGAATCATTTCAATCGTTAATTCGTTTCAATACTTTTCGTTGCCGTTTAAAAGAACGAAAAAACGATTGATTAAGATAAATCGACTGAAAACCGAGAGCATTGCTTACGTTATTTCATATCTGTATATAAATAATAATACTTTTGCTTCTTGTTACAAAATATGTAAACTAAAAACAACAATAATAATACTTTTCTTTTTTGTTACAGATGTTCTGGCATTGTTGTGTACCTGGTTGCGAAACCAATTATGCCAGTACTTTAAAAACGAAACAGGCAGAAAGTACGTTTTTGTTTCCCAAAGATCCCCAAAGAAGGTATACTGGGTTATGCTCTATTCATAGAGAAGGCTGTACAATTACCAAATCTTCCGTAGTATGTGCCAAACATTTCCATGAAGATGATATTCAGCGGACTGAACAATGAGAAGATAAAGATGGAAATGTACACATTGAAAAGTTAATATTTCCCAAATTAAAAGGCAATGCAGTGCCTAATATATTTCCTGAAGTACCATCATATGTAACTGTTCATCGTACTAAAGAAAGAAGGAATCCCGAAGACAGAAGAAACTTTTTGCATAAGAAGAGGGAACAAGAGATAACATAATTATGTCAATTAGACTTAGACAATAATATCCCATTGAAAAACTGGACAAATAAAATTACAAGTGACTGTGTATATTTCTATGTATTAAACATTAATCAGTTGGGACACAAGTGTGATAATATTTGTGTAATATGTAGTGTAATAGTTAGCAGTAATTTTAGTGTAATCGTCAATGTAGGTAAGAATAGATTAAGTGGTAATGATTTGAAATGGATTTTACAATATAGTAAATTAACAAGATGGTCACAATTAGAGAACTTACTTTCTCATTTAGATCTGCTTTTTAGATAAGTGATAACAAATTTGAGTATTACATTCAAAAATCTTTTGAGAATAGGTATAGGCTATTTTAAATCGATATACAAGTTATAAATGGTATGTTACATTCAACACATTTTTCATGTATACCTCTTTTAACTTGGTCTTTATGACAACAAACCTATTCATATTTAAAATTGCTACTTTTGTATATCTAAGTATGAAAATTCAACAAAAGTTATAAGTAAATAGTAAAATATTTAATTTTCAA